GGGTGGGTGGGTGTGTGTGGGTGTGGTGTGGGCGTGTGGGTGTGTGTGTGTGTGCGCTGTCTGTCTGTCTGTCTGTCTGTCTGTCTGTCTGTCTGTCTGTCTGTCTCTGTGTGTGTGTTTGTGTGCGTGTGTGTGTGTGTGTGTCTGTGTGTCTGTGTGTGCGTCTGTCTGTGTGTGTGTGTGTCTGTGTTTGTGTGTGTGTGTGTGTCTGTGTGTGTGTGTGTGTGTCTGTGTGTGTGTGTGCGTGTCTGTGTATGTGTATGTGTGTGTGTGTACGTGTGTCTGTGTATATGTGTGTGTGTGTCTCTGTGTGTGTGTGTGTGCGTGTATGTGTGTATGTATATATATATATATGTGTGTGTGTGTGTGTACGTGTGTCTGTGTATGTGTGTGTGTGTGTGTCTGTGTGTGTCTGTGTGTGTGTGTGTCTCTGTGTGTATGTGTGTGTGTGTGTCTCTGTGTGTGTGTGTGTGCATGCGCGTGTGCACCTGTGTCTGCGTGCCTTCGTGGTGTCCGTCTGTCTCTGTGAGGTTTTCGCGTTGTTAGTTTGTTTGCTGTCCTTTCCATTGTGTGTTGCGTGAGAGAGTGCCGCATTCGTGTGCATTAGTCTCTGGCTTAAGACTTGCGCTGGGAGGTTTCGGACATGTAGGACGACAATGGAACAGGCATCAGCTGCCAAAAAACGAACCCTATTTTCACACTCAGCGCGTAGCTAGTGCTCTGCATGATTTGCGCTGACAAACGAAATGCTTCCGTCAGATCGCCCACGATAGCACAAGCTGAGAATAGCACGAGGCGTTACGAAGTGTGAGGATGATGCATATATTTCATGATGGCACGGATGAGGTTGGCCACAGCTGTGATGACAGTGATGCTGATCATGATGATGGCAAAACATGCTGACCATGATTCTGATGATGTTGGTCTTGCTAATGTTGATGGTGCTGGTGATGACTGAGATGGCCGGGACGGGAGTTGAGGATGATGCCGACGACGACCACCCCGAGACTGGTAATCACAAAGTGATTCACATGCTCGGTAATAACCGTTGTAAACAACATTCGACGGGGCATTTCAGTTTCCACTCATTTTGTAGTACGTACCTTACATAAGATCATCGGGGCAGGGCGGGTGTCCTCGCGAGGCATCACCACTGCATTTTTACAGTGCGCCACCACCGAGACATGATTACGGAGTACTGCCTTCAGCATCACAGAATGCAGGTAATAATATGGGCAATACGCATATGTGGGCAACATGGATGTAACGTTGAACCAAGCGGTATTGAAGCTCATGATAGCGAGGTGGCGAGAGAAGGAATCAGTGAAGCGATAGATCGTTTCTAGCGGGTTGGACACTGTTTGCCATCATGACGATTGGAGGGAACATGTCTCGATTGCGAATGTTCTGACATAGTGAACTCGATGCTACTGCTACCGATTGTGATGTTCATGACAACATGTGTGCTGACATCGAACTCAAATCTACACATCTTCTCCGACAGACCCATCCCACAATCCCAGCTAATTACTGCAACCATCGTCGTCATGACTCGTCGTCATGACTTTGGCGTGAGGTTGTAAGGCTCTTCCGCCTACAGCACTTGCTTTTTGCTCTTGCCCATGCTGCGGGCTGACATGGGTCTTCAGCTCTTGACTATAAACACTGGTCGTGGTAGCAGGTAGCGCCTTTGACAGCAAGTCAAGCCTCTGCATGAAGTGCTTAAAATTATGAAGAACGAAGTACATGCAACCATGCAGCCCGAAACGAACGAATCCCGGAGGGAAAACACCCCAGAGCAGCAAACCTCCATCATGCCAAGATTCGGCATTGTGAAGGAACTTTCTCCCCAAAGCTGGCGCCGAAAGCTGTCCAATTCAGGGCATAGCCTCGACAAACGTGGAGATGTGGCTTTCGGCTGGGCCTGGTGAGTAGTGGAACCCAAGGTGTCTTTACTGCTGTGGACACACTGATGGTCTTGATACTGACACCCCCCCCCCTTTGTTTGTTATGTGCTTATCTTCGTCACAACAACGGCTTCTGACTCTTCTATTTAACATCATGTCGAATAGCTCTGTTGCTTTACCTTTCCCTGACATATTACGGTCCTGAAATGCCCGTCTCACTTTGGACCTGGATTGCTCGATCTTGGCTGCGGCCGAAGCTGGCTCCCCGAGGCCAACGGAATCCGCCGGGAAGGAACGCCCGTCCTGCAAAGAGGCTTTAAATGATGAGGCGGCACGGGGCGGAAACTTGGAACGGCGATGACGATGGTACTGGAGATGGCGATGACCTGATGCAGTAATGTTAGTGTGGTGGCATGTGGCGCTTGCGGTAGCTGTCAAAACTCGTAGAAGCGGTCGTGTAGCGGTCTTGGTCATTCGCAGATGTGGCTCTGCAGCAGCCTTCCGCTACACCAACAGCAGGTGTTGCAGAAACTGCCGGTGTTGGTGGTGGTGGCGCTGGCGGTGGCGGTGGCGCTGGCGGTGGTGGTGCTGGCGGTGGTGTCATTGATGATGATGGTAGTGAAAATTTGTGATGCTACAGAGCCAATGAAGAGATTGTTGTTGTGGTAGCGGTTGATGCTGTCTCTGCTGCTGCTGATGCTGCTGCAATTGTTGCTGTGGATGTTGCTGCTGATGATGTTGTGGTTGTTGTTGTTGTTGTCGTCGTCGTTGCTGTCGTTGTTGTAGTTACCTCGTCCACATGGACACAGTCCGGTTGGTACAAGCTCTCCACGACCGTTCGAAATACAGATCAAGCAGGGGTGCAAACTGTCTCCAACGCTCTTTTCATTTCTGAGGGGGCGTCTGCTTGCCGCCCTAGAACCCACTGTTGGGGCTGATCAAGTGGTCAAATTTCTGACAGGGTATGCTGACGACCTCACGTTGCATCGCACGATACGTTCGATCAAGGACCTCCAGGAAAGTCACAGGCTCATCGGAGGCCTGCTCGACGAAGTAAGGCAGCACAATCTGGTTGTAAATAACTCTAAATGCGTCGTTCTGGCGAAGCTGGCGATGGGAAAAGAGGCTCCGAGCCTCATCTGCAAGAACTCCTTTTGGATTATCGACGCAGAAGACAACAGGGTCAATCGATGGCGCATTGAGCCCAATGAAACTTTTCCTGCCTTTCAATGGGCTGCCTCCAGCAAGTATCTGGGGGTCATCATTTCCAATGGCCATTTTGGGCAGCAGACTTTGCAGCATCGAATCAACGAAGCCAAACAGAAGCTGCATCTTGTCTGCAAATTCGTGTATAAGCACCGCGTGGCTAGCACGCGCGCCAGGCTCCGAGTCTGAAACAGCACGGTTCAAAGCACTAGTGCTGGAGCTGCTGCTGTTGCCCCTACTGCTCATGCTGGTCACGCTAGCGTTGCTGGTGTTGCTGTTGCTGCTGTTGTTGTTGCTGTCTCTGTCGCTGTCGCTGTCGCTGTCGCTGTCGCGGTCGCGGTCGCGGTCGCTGTCGCTGTCGCTGTGGTTGTGGTTGTGGTTGTTGTTGCTGTTGCAGTTGCAGTTGCAGTTGCAGTTGCAGTTGCAGTTGCAGTTGCAGTTGCAGTTGGTGTTGGTGTTGTTGTTGTTGTGGTTGTTGTTGTTGTTGTCCTTGATTCTGTTGCTGCTGCTTGTGTGGCCCTTGTGTGTGATGACTGTTCTGCTCACGTTGATCACTTCCACACCATACAGGTGTCCTTGCGGAAAAGAGACTCTGCAGCAGCCTTGGCCTTTGCGACCTTGACATCGCCATTGAAGATCAGGGACATGTCCTGGCGCAGTGGGGGCATCGCAAGAATTGGCTTAATCTGCTACGCAGCAGCGGGCAAATGCTTCTAGGGTCCAAACCGGGCACGGTAAGCACGTTCAACATGTCACAGACGCAACTATGTTGGATGGCGCAGCAATCCCGTCCTCTGCAAGTGGCAGGTGGCTAAGAAGCAGTCCTCCACTTTGTGCAGTGGAACTGCCCCGCATGAGATGGGCTCTGGAGGGGACGGCACAGTGTCAGCTGATGCTCGGGCTCGGACCATAAACAAAATTGAAATTTAAATCCTGTGCTGCAGCGCACCGTGAGGTCCCGACCCCGAAAGCAGCAAGCAACGAAACCCCGCAATGTGCGCAATCTCTGTCCTTTAGCCCCTCCTGCATCAAAGGCCGCAGCCATGCGACGAAACATCGGGTCACTCTGCCTCAGATGCATGAACCCTGGCCTTGCGCGGAGCAGATGCCCTGAGTCTGATGTCTCAAGCTGTCACCTGGCGAAAAAAGCGTTCAAGCATGGCAGGATTATGCGCCGAGCCGCGGACCTTCTACAAACACAGTTGAAACCCCAAAGCCCCTCGGCAATCACAGAGGTGGTTTTCACGAAATCCAAGCACCGGCAAGAGATGACCTCCACGCAACCACAAGCCGGGAGCGAAGGAAGCCGATTATGGTGCGTATAGTGCATGCTGCCAGGCTGCTCATCGGCCTCGATGTTGGACTGCACGAGGTTTGCCTCGTTTTTTTCCTCAGCTGCGGCCACCATCTCGTGCAAACAAGCAGAAGAACAAACACTGCAAACAATGACATGCGCATGAGCTTCGTTGCCGATGACAGACAGCTAGCTTGATCCCTTGTATTCTGATCTCAGAGTGGCTTCAAGGTTGAACCGCAAAGCGGAAACTGGACAGGACTTCCAAAAGAAATATCGGACTGTGAAAGCGTTCAGGCTCGCGAGCTCCACCCACTGTCAACTACTCCCACATAATAACGTGTATGTGTGTGTGTGTTGTGTGTGTTGTGTGTTGTGTGTTGTGTGTGTGTGTGTCTGTGTGTGTGTGTGTGTCTGTCTGTCTGTGTGTGTGTGTTTGTGTGTCTCTCTAACACTTGTGGGTGAGAGGGTTGCTTCTCCAAGGCCACTCAATGCAAGGCTGTCTTTCGTGCAAGGCTCCAGGGTGTTGACGCCACAGATCCGCCTCTTCTTGGTAGGCTTCCCATCTTCGCCAGGTTGTCCGTCTTCGTTTGCCTCGGACATCTCAGTCATTATGAGTCTGACTCAAGGAAGCTTTTCGGACTGCAGGGAGACAAGAGAACTCCTCAGGTAGCAGTGTAGCCAAGCCACGATGTCAGCAGAGTTCAATCCTCCGAGCACGCGGTAGGTATCCGTGTGGACACAGTCCACCCGGCAAGCATAGATGCGTGCGGAGGCTTCGATGGTGCAGCTGGCCTCTGTGCACGGTCGGAGTTCTAGCAAAAGACTTCTGTATCATATGGCACACGTAGAGATAATGGCAGCATATGCCCGATATGGATATGATTCGTCACCTGAGACAGAGCATCATAAAAGTTCTCGTCAACATCACCACCATCGCATAATATCTTCACCATCATCATCATCATCATCGCCATCATGCGACAATCTTCGTTGGAATCAGCTACGGAGCACCGGTATCAGCACGGCGGTTGTGGCATGAGTACTTCTCCGATCCATTTTCCGTGAAGTTAGCCTGCAAAATAACCGTGATCGTCGATTCTATCCGTGCATAATCTATAAACATTGTGCGAATCATACACGTAGTTTCTTGCTTTAGGGCCGCAGAAGCGGTCGACGTTGAAACCAAAATGCAAAGGGTTTCGCTTCTCCACCGAACTCGATGCATCCAACATAGGCAGCTCTCACCAGTTCGTCTTTGCCCACCTGGCCAAGCCGGGTGCTCAAAATTTCTACTCTACATGCGCCGACATCACGAGCATCAGAGGGTTTCGGCAGGGGCACTGCAGCATGGCCAGCTCTGAACGCCAGCGCCCTGAATCGGGCATCACGCGCCTGTGCGGCTCTGTGCCATTGACCCTGCATCATTGGAGCCTGGCTGCTCTGGCGGCCTGTCCGGGGCCTCACCACTGGGGTCCGTAGGGTCGCTGGGCTTCCAACTGCCCGGGGGTTTTTGGAGTCGCAAGGCGCGTTCCATCACACCAGCCGCGCCTAAGTGAGTTGCCCGCTTCTGGGCACAGCCTCTCAAACTGCATGTAAACAAATGTTCATATCTCGCAGCACTATCATCAAGGCTGCTACCTTGCGGTTTCGAGCCGCAGAACCAGATTTCCCATACAGCCTTGCACTCGATCGGCGACTGGATTTGTATATCCAGGGCATGACATAATTCAACTAGGGACTCGAAGAAACACGTTGAAAGATAACGTCGGCTGCTCCCTTCGGAATGCCCCGATCCACCCCACAAACTGAAGAGCACGGCCTCGTGGAACCTGCTCTCGAGCTCAGCCTCTTCCGGGTTCGGTGGAGCGGACTTCCGATCCCGGGTGCCCTGTGGACGGCCTGGGCTCGCAGTAACGGGACCAAGGGTTCTAGACCTCGGTCTGGGGCTTCAGCCTGTAGCAGGGACCAGAATGGAGCGTTGAAGTTATGTGTCGTGGCGTAGATGCTGAACTGAGGTGAAGAAGTTTAAAGGCTAAAACAATCTGCTGGGGAAGGAGGCCAAAGCCACGATGCTGACTAACGAAACGAGCCGGCTTATCGCCTGCCCTGGCATGTTCCTGCAAAACAATTCCTGGTTGATGCAGCAGTGTTTGGTTTCTTGCGCATCAGGCGGCGGCAGCAGGTCAGTCTGAATTCAACACCATGGATGTCCGACATGCAGTCAGAGCTCCATACCACAGCAATCTAAGCCATCTGAGCTTCATTCCAACGACAACGACAACGACGACAGCGACGACAACAACAACCACAACCAAAACTGCCACCACCACCAACACCAACAACAACAACAACAAGAACAAGGTCACACTCCGTAATGGATCCCACGCTTTTTGTGGTTTTGGACCTCGAAAACGCCGCTCCCACCGACAAAGTTGGACTTGGCGAGGGTGGGGGGGGGGGTTGGAAAAGGCGATTCTCCTTTTTCGCGTTTCTTTATGGAAAATGGGTTATCAACATCACCTGGATGAAGATGAGTTGGATGATCATCGTCATACAGGGACCCTCATTTGGCAAACAGCAACAAAACAACAGAGGAATGAGCAACGACGACCATGATTCTGTGGCAACGGACGGAGTTTGTCTGGACGTTATCATGGTTGGCACATGGATGCTCTGTGCATGGGAACGGACGGAGTTTGTGGGGACATTATCATGGTTGGCACTGTGGGAGCGGACGGAGTTGGTGGGGACGTTATCATGGTCGGCGCATGGATGCTTTGTGGGACCGGACGGAGTATCTGGGGACGTAAAACATGGTCGCCACATGGATGCTCTGTGGGAACGGACGGAGTTTGTCTGGAAGTTATCATGGTTGGCACATGGATGCTCTGTGGGAACCGACGGAGTTTGTCTGGACGTTATCATGGTTGGCACATGGATGCTCTGTGGGAACCGACGGAGTTTGTCTGGACGTTATCATGGTGGGCACATGGACGCTCTGTGGTAACGGACGGAGTTTGTCTGGATGTTATCATGGTCGGCACATGGACGCTCTGTGGTAACGGACGGAGTTTGTCTGGACGTTATCATGGTCGGCACATGGATGCTCTGTGGGAACGGACGGAGTTTCTGGGGACGTTCTCATGGTTGGCACATGGATGCTCTGTGGGAACAGACCGAGTTTGTCTGTACGTTATCATGGTTGGCACATGGATGCTCTGTGGTAACGGACGGAGTTTGTCTGGACGTTGTCATGGTTGGGGCATGGATGCTTGTGGGGACGGGGACGTTAACATGGTTGCCACATGGATGCTCTGCGGCAACTTATCATGGCCGGCACATGGATGCTCTGCGGTGACGGAAGGGGCCTGGCCCCTCCAAGTCCGAGTTTGTCGGCGGGGCCAGGGTTTTCATGGCCTGACAAGGCGAAAAACGTGGGAACCGTTACACAGCCGTGCACCAAGAACAACAACAACAACAACAGCAACAGCAACAGCAACAGCAACAGCAAGAGCAAGAGCAAGAGCAGCAGCAGCAGCAGCAGCAGCCGCAACGGCAACGGCAACGGCAACAGCAACATCACCACCACACACCACTACCACCACCGCCAACAAACCCACCAACAACACCACCATCACCACCGCCTAATCATAATTTTTGCAAGCCGAATATTAAAAAAACTATTATGAACCGATGTACTGCAAGCTAGACTACAAGTATTGCTTGATCGAATATGAACCCTAGGGTTGTAGTCGTTGTAGCAGCAAGAACAGTTGTCGTCGCCGTCCAAAGGATTGGGCAACAGGAATACGGTGCTAGAAGAACCGAGACCCTACCTCAAAATAAAAGCCAGCCCAGTCGCTCTTCGTTTTAGTTTTTCTGCCGCCCATGAAGGAGTCCACAATGTCATCCATGTGCTCGATGAGCGGGAGTTCGAAAGCATTTTTCGTAGAAATCTTGTTTTCAACCACCTGCAGATGGAACTCGCACACTGCCCTCCGGAAGACCCTGAGCTCATGTCTAGGACTCTAGAGGTTGTGCAGCGCAAAGGCCCGAAAACCACAAGTCTTGTGCAGCTAAGCAACCAATTGCACGCATTTTGAATAGAGCTCGCCCAGAGAAGAGCCACCGATACTCGCCATGACGGACTGTGCTCCTTCTTCCTACTCACTTTGACTGTATATTCCTGCGAAAATGCGGCGGGCACGCTGGGTTGAGCTCAGGCTCTCAACAGCCACATGTACTTGGACAGCCGTATCCGCGATCATGAACTAAAACATAGGAGTCGCTCCGGTCAGGGCAGCTCGATGCAAAAGCATGACAATGATCGTGTCAGGACCTCAAGGGCGTCATCACACAATCCAGAAATCAACAACTCCGTAATGCCAATACACAATTCTGTAGTGCCATTGCGCTTTTCTTAACTATTTTTAACTGATTCTTAACTGATTGAATATGAACCCAAACACACACATAACACACAGACACAGAGAGCAAAGAAGCCCACATGAAACCCTGGCTCCTGGTCGTTGTCTAGGCGCGGCCTGGATAAAAAGCTCACAGGCAGGCAGGCAGCGTGCAGATATGTATATGAACAAATAACTGAATAAAACATAAATACATAATAAATTGAACTTTTGTATATTTATATACGTATACATATATATGTGTATCATTTACGAATATCTGTTATCTGCACATACATAAAGAGGTAAGTTCACCTATTCGCCGGTACCTACGCTATTATATAAAGATATATATATATATCTTCATGTTTGCCTGTTTATGCGTATGTTCAATTGCTTATGTATATACGCATACTTATATTTGTAAAAGTGTCAAAGTGATGTGTATATATATATATAGATATGTATATGTATCTTGTACGTACGTACGTGCATACGTACGTAAGCAGGTATGTATGCATGTATGTATGTACGTATGTATGTATGTACACAGATAGACAGATAGTTCGAGTTTGTTCATGTGTAGACATTATAAGTATATATATATGTATAAATATATGTATATAGATATATATGTGTGTGTGGAGGTATCCAGAGTATTCAAATACACGGGCTTCATATACATGCATACCTAGATGCTGACTTACCGAACTACCTATACCTACCTGCCGACCGACCGACGTACCTACATACGGACATACATACTCACACACCAACGTGCGTACATGCATGCAGTCATGAATGAACAGACACAACACACATATATATATATATACACACACAGATATACGTGTGAATGTATATAAGAGTGCATGCACACAATATATGATAAATTACCCGAATATAGATAATATAGATGTAGATGTGTATGTAGATGAAAATGTTCATCCATCCATCCATACATACATACATATGGTAACCCCGCCCCCCATGAACTACCGACCCTCGTTTTGTATCGTAAAAACCGT